AGAGAGCCGGGACTATATTTACGCACAGACTTTTTAGCGAGCCAATTACAATCAGTGACCAATCGCATGAAACGTTAACCACGACGCTGAAATCCGTTTCTGATTAGGAAGGATTACGAAGAAGGGCTTGTAATAATGATTATCACGCAGCATATTACCGAGATATTTCGAACGCACCGGGATACTGGCATTTGGATGTTCATTTCGGCGTAATTTACTACCATTAGAATACGGAGGGAGGGGAGAGAGTGAAACACCGCAGTTTCAGTCAGCGCCAGGGAGAAGGTGGGTCACGGCGGAGGTAATTACATGCGGGTGGCTGGCTTGGTGGCTTTGAACCATAGCAACTGTGGAACATGTATGAAGTTCTTCTGTGCGCATAGGACCGATCCGCATAGCCTGATTGCAGCCGCCTCTGCCGTAGCCAACAAACGCTGCCTAAGTAGTTTTGGATAGCTTGATGGGACCTTGAAAATCACTCTGAAGGCCCCTCTGGCGTCTACACGGTGGCCTGTGTCTACTATGTGCGCGAGGATCGAGCTATTGATGTGCTTTATTTGACCCTTTCCTAACCATGCTGGAAGAGGTTCTTTTGTTCTTTTGGATAAACGCCGGCTCGTGCGACCAATATATTCTGCCCCACAGGAGTACATATACATAGAGGTGGTCTGAGCTGGTAGTTTATCCTTGCCCCCTCCGTATAGGATGGGACTGATGGAGAACAGTACACGGGTGTCAGCTGCTGGAAAGGTCTGTGATGCAACTTGAGTTAAGCGTCTTCTTAAAAGTTCACTTGGTGCATCTCCTTGAAATGGGACCCTGATGAAGAGCCATTTCTTTCCTACCGTCAGTATCGAGGGCTTTTTCGGTCTTTCGGCCATGTATTAAGTAATCCTTCCTAATCGAAGACGCATTTCAGAATTCCGGCTAACATTCCATAAGATTGGCTACTGACTGTTAATACGTTGGTATGGGGTGGATAATGTCTTATTTCGATTAAATCATATCCCTTTTTAGCCTGCACAACCGTGGGGTTTGGCCATAACCCGTCTCTATGGGGATACGCCTGACTTGGATGCTGTGGTCTCGTGCTCACTGTACTGTCCGTCAGTTTTCAATGTCACATGTATATTAAGACCCAAGTGCAAAATTCGGTGTCTTTCTTGAATTCGCCATGGACTCTTCCGCCCATGGAGTCCATAAATGTGGCCTAGTGTGGACGGCTTCCAATCCCTAAAGGCTTTTCCCTTAAAGAAGCCGGACCCAACTGATATAGGTGTCGTCCCCCCAATATAATAATCATAGTCCAGTGAAGAAGATCGTGTAATACCGCAATTTCGCATTCTGGAACTACAGGAAGTGGCAGTGGGATTCGAAACGATGGCGGCAGTATTCACACCAGCTCTGAAACCCGCTTTAGCGAGGGACACTCACACAGATGGCACACTCTTGTTCTCATCGAAAACCGGGAGGAAAATGGCTTTTCTATAACGGCGCAGGCCGGTAAAAATACGCACTTAGGGTTGCGATCTGGGCGTATAGTAGCCTGTAGTGTCTAAGCAGAGTGCGTACTCCTCAAGCCGAATCCCCATTTGCAAGGAAAAGGCAGAAGTCAACAGAATGAGTGGTTTACTGCATGCAGAACCCTCAGGCTGCAGTGGCAGCTGGCGAAGGTAAATGAAGTTGACGCAACGGGGCCTTGAACTAGGACGCCAGACGTAACCACGATGGCTGTCAACAGAAAACCCGCATAAACCTAGATACGGGACTTTACTCCGCGTATCACTAATTGGACTTTCGCCGACACCGGCAAAAGTTGAGAGGCTAGTTTGCAACTGTTGCTCCTTTGATTCTGATGAGTGACCATTGCGCGTTTCCAAAATCTAAGAGGTACATTGACCGTTCCAATGATATGCTCCCCATTCAGCAAGAAGTTGTGACACGCATCTTCACCCTTGCGGACGCTGGCCTCGCTATTGAGCGTCGAGACTGAGATACTGATGTGAATTCAAGGTTCATAAGTGGAAGATTTTAAATTCATAAATGAAGAAGAAGAGTCGAGCACCGGAACACTGCGTTTATTATGTTAGGGGGGCGCTCACCGATCGTTCATACGGAACTCACTCGTTCCGTTGTGCCTTAAGGGCTCTCTCTCGAGCCCAACCAGCAGCCGCACAGCGGCGCATGATATATAGGCAGAATGATATTACCGACAAAGACAAGGGAGACTGGAATGGTCATTTCTGGCTTATTAGCCGTCGTCAGCCAGCCATACCCAAGCCCGAAGTGTGGAACACCCGAGCCTCGAACTCGCGACCTGTTGGTTTAGAAGTCAACGCCTCTACTCACCGGGCCACGAGCCCGTTGCCCTGTCGGTTTTCGATCGGGAATATACAATGTACTGCGTTTATTGTCCTGAGCTTTCAGATTCGTACAGGACTCCATCGTCAGAAGTAGTAGCAGAAACAGAACAAGCGACAGTCATAAGGCATTTAGGCCAATCATCAACCGACGGCGCAAGACTGGAGGTGACTACGCAGGACACTGTACGCCGGCGCCAGATCGATAAGTCGATTGGCCGAATTCTCATCCGAGGTCCAGGCTTCAATCAATTTTCGGCCTGTTTTGTTTCCGGCGTGAGCGACTATTTTGGTGGCTGCGAAGTCAAACTCGTGACCCATTTCGTGGGTGTGGGCGGCCACTTGTGATAGTACTTCGCCCAGCTAGCTTATCTTTTTGTATGCGCGATCCGAGCATGAGCCCAGTCTGTCCTGTGTAGTTACCAGGACAATTTTGACACGGAATGCGATACACTGTTCTAGATTGCTCTTCAGGCTTTAAGCGGTCTTTGATTTTCATGACCCTATTGCGCATGGTGGCTTTGGGGCGGTGTGCAATTCCAACAACTAGCTCCG